GATTTATTTCAGCATAAGCTTTTGTGGGCTACAGCTCACTTCTTTGGATGCATAGAATGGAACACACAAACAGAAGATATCTGTCTGTGTGTTCCATTGTACTTTATCTAAATGCACTGATATCTTCATAAATACCAAACATAGCAAAAAGGGTTTTTTGGGACTAAAACTGTTAAGAAGGGTACTTAGGCAGGATTACAGTAACAAATGAGTAGTCAAGAATGAAAACATTCGATTTAAAGACTAGTGGGTTATGGGGAGAAGTTGTTTAATCTGCTACTTATGTTGTGCTGTTTGTTTACATTTCACAGGAGTAATTTCCTCTAGGAGTGTCTTGTTTTTAGCTCAGTCGGAACTCTTACTGTGGAGCGAAACCTATAAAATAAGGACAGAGGATGGAAAAGCTCAAACAACCTTAAAAATAGTTGTGTTAGGTGGCAAGTTATAATTAAAGCATTTGTTTTTTAATTAACACCTGAAGTCAGTGAAATAACATAGTAGTGTAACCCTCAGTCAATTGTTGACACTATGGATAAAAATATTTTCTTTTAAATAAAAACAAAAATCATTTAAAAATCAGATTTAAAAGAAACTTTCGAAAATTTGAAATTGACAACATATGTCAAGGCCTAAAATTATTATCGAATACAAAAAAAGCAGTAATGTTTGCTGCCAATTTTTTAAGACAGTCAAACCACTGAACTGATGGAAGTCACTGGCTAAACACCTGGAAACAAAGCTTGTTGAAGTGACAAACAAGTTTTTGCCAGCAGTACCCTCTACTACAGATGCAGAAAGAATATTTTCTTTCCAGTTTATTGAACGGAACAAATTGAATGACTGGTTCAAGTTAAGAAACCAGTTGGGAGTTGAAAAAGCAAGAAAGCTTTTTTTCCTCTCCAATCTATGAATAAAAACAAAGTGAGAGGATGAAAGCTGCTAAAATCTTGAAGGACATGGGGACCGAAAACAGTCACTTCACTGGCTGCTGCTAACGTTTGTTTAATCATTTTTGAAATGAAAACCATGTTTTGATAATATTTTCTTATGTGTCCAGCACATTTAAGCTAGTTTTATTTAATAAAAAGCTTAAAATGCTTTTTTTGTGCATTTAGTTGCTTGACACAAATCACAAGTAAAAAGTTATCTAGTAAAGAAGAAATGCATCCTTTTCTAACGTAATCAGAAATGTAAAAATTAAGAATTTTGAATAAAGGTAACTGAAGCAATTACTGCTTAATAAGTATATAGATATAGGTATCCTCCTGGTTAGCAAAAAGAAGCATCAAATTTAGCGTAAAGCTGTATTTAGTTGTAAGTTAACATGTTTTAATAGTTACCAACCAAGGAAAATAACTACAAAATAAAAATGCAAAACACTATTGAAATGGATGATTTAAATCAAGGTTTCCTGCTTGCTGGTTTAAATTACCAATTTAAATTATTATTTAAATCAGTCCACCCTGATTGTCTTTCACTACGTGCTATTATCACCTTAGAACTTGGTTCCTGTCTTTCTTGACATTGGTTTAGTCATGGTAATTGTGTATATCCCTGTCAAGGTGTCAACACAGCATTTTGCCACTCTGCCAGAGTGAATCACAGATTGTAACTGCTGAGTGTCATTGTGGGTGGTTGAAATGATAGGAGTATAACTGACATCTAAAAGCAGAAACCAATCTAGGTTAAATAAAAACAAGATATTTTGGAGGGTTAAAGTTGGCTTTTACTGTCCAATTTGGGAAACTGTGATCCAGGAAATGAGTCACTCACACTTCTGTATCTTGTCTTTACACCGGGAAAAGGGCTCACTCTGAGTTCAGTAGTCTTAATGCATTTCAGTGTTTGATATTCTTTTGGATTATTTAATATTAAAGCTTGCAATCTGACTGCAGTTACTAGTGAGCTGGCTAATTCAGACTTTTGCTGAAAGTGTGTTCGGGGAGCTGGGGGGGTTGAGAAATGGGAACTGTGGCTTACTACACTTTTTAGCTTTTCTTCTCAACTAGTAGTAACATGAATTTTGAAAAATTGCAACTTTTGTTGATCTTTGGTCAAAAAGTCTCATGCACAACAAATTCTCTGAGAACATTGTGTTGCTTATCTAGAAAATAACCTGGAATTGTTCTCTTTTGTCATAGCTGGTTTCCCAATGGGCTATGCAGCAGCTGCCCCGGCCTATTCCCCCAACATGTACCCAGGAGCAAATCCTACCTTCCAAACAGGTATGCATAAAATACTTATTGCTAAGAAATACTCAAAAACTTTGTCTACATTAGAAGCATTTAAAATTGGGAGTGAGGAGAAATGCATAACATTTTCTTTTACTTTGAAAATAGCATAAAATGGTGGTCTTCCAAACTAACCAGTGACTTCAGTTTTTGCATCTGGGGATGTTTACACAGTGTCCACATGCAGTCTCCTGTTATAGATAAGGGAGGACTTTAACTTGTTTTTGGGGAGGTTTGAGTTATTTAGTTGCCAGAGACAAGTATTAGATAGGTAGTTAAAATCCTTACACAAATTTTTGCTAACATCTTTCACTAGTCCCGTCTGACCTGACCTTCTGGATATTTCCCTTTATTTCCATGTCCCTCAGTAAGTCTCTTCCCTTCCTCTTTCAGAAAGGCGTCTGGAATATACCCTTTTATCACCTCCTCTGATCTTTCACCTCCTAAATTCTACGTGCCCCTTCCTACCTCAGGATCGTGCCTGTCATGCACCTGCATACGGTGATTGTCCAACAATTCTAGCAACAGGGTGAAACAGCTATGATTCTGGACAGCTTTACTATTGTGTTCCTACTGGGTTGTGGGGAAAGAGCAGTGTTTAGGAACAATACTCTCGTACTGCTCAGCTAGGGGGCAGGCAGGAGGGAGGGATTTGGGGAAGAAAGAAGAAATGCACAGGGGCCAACGAACAAAAGTGAAAGAATCCCTGGAAGAATCCCTCAATGTGATGAGCATTCTATTAATATTGGAAAGAAGGAGAAACTGATAGTAGCTGTTAAATTAATCTCCAATCACAACAGAAGGATACACTTGGAAAGGAAACTTTAGACTTTTTCAAAAGGGATATTATATACAGATAAGAAATTGCTTACTGTCCTTTGTAAAATATTATGGCTTGCATAAATCTACATTAGCAATGAAAGGGAAAAGGATAGTGGAGAAAAACTAGCCTGTTTATTCATTTGCATATTGCTATACAACTTATCTAGAAAAAAATAGTATTTATAGATTGATGTGTAAAGCATACCAAAGATGATGGGGGGGTGAGGGAGAGGAGGGGGAAGAGAAGAAGTGAAGAGCAGGATGGAAGGAGAGGAATTTGTATGACGAGCCTAATCCACAAATGGGTCATGTATGTGGTTTCATTTACCACTGTAGCGCCCACTGGTGTCAGAGCCTGCCATCGCTCGGGTCTTCATCTCCAGTGCCCCCTGCTGTCCATTGCTTCGGCTATGCAATGGCCTGCCTGGCTACATCTTCCATAGCCTTGTCCTCCAGCTAGGTCACTTCTTTCAAGTTGTGTCCCCTTCTGGAGTAACAAAAGTCCAACCAAAGAATCCACACCAACAACAGGGCTCTTGGGCTACATTGAAGTTCCCTGCTCTTCACCCCTCTTCTTGGGGACTGCAGAGTTCCTTCTTTGCTCCTTTAGCTGAGTACTTCCTCCCATGTTTTTTTTTTTCTCCTGGAGGCTCTTCTTCCAAGCAAGTTTCCTCACTGCCTTTCCTCCCCAAGGACTCCAGCAGTTTTCCCCAGGACCTCTCTGCTTCTTACAGGCCCTATTCCAGAGCCTCCCAGAGGAACCTAATTGCTCCCTGTCTCTCCAGCCTGCCTTCACCAGGCACTTCCCCGACAGAGGAAAAACTTCCCTCAGTGAGTTCTCTTCCCTCTTTATGTAGTTCTCCCTGACCTTTTCATAGGTGGGATCATTAGTTGTAACTGAGTCACCAGATGAGGATGAGCTGGAGATTAAATGCTATGTCCCAAGCCAAGCTGAGTCTAACTTCTCTTAAAGGGCCAGCCAGCTTGGACAGGTCAACACAGTGTGATTTCATAATAACTTTTTTCAGGCAATGTAAGCTTAACTAAGCTTAATTTAACTCTTAAGCTTACCTTAAGTGATGCCTGACATTCTGCAAACTGCTGTTCTAGGAAGTAGACAGTAGATACTAGGTCCTCTGGCCCTGGGAAGCTTGTCATTTGTACTATTCATGACTCTCATTACATAAAGTATGGTTGTAGTCACTCCTGTAGTTCAATATTCAGTAATACCATTCTGATTTTAGTTTTTGTCTATGCACCTTCAAGAGCTGCTCCACTCGAATCCATTATGGACCAGAATTTCAGAAGTACTCATGTACTTCTCCAAAATTGGCTCTGAATGTCTAGTTATAACTTGTGGAAAACAATATATGGTACCTAGGAATATAGTTTGGTCCTCTGCCCTTCATACGAACAACCTTGTTGTCTCTACAAGATAGTTCTAAAGTGTTGTTCTGTTAGATTCCAAAGACAGCTCTGTCAAATAGAATGCAGTCATAAAGTCTCACAACTGAGAGTAATCACCAACTCACAAGACTTGGACAAGTGACTTTAAATTTAGGGGGTAACAGGAGAACCTTATTTTCACAGGGCAAACAGAGCTGTTCTCAGACTTCGTGATACATCAGTAAATACTTACATAGTTAATGCCTGGAAACATGGTGCTTATTTGCAGGGCTATGAGTTTTAATGACTCATCAACTTCTCTCACTTATAGAAGAGAATGGCAGCATTTGCTAGGGCAGAGAGTAAGCAATCTAAACTCCTAATTGGGCACAAGTTCTATATTTATAATAATATCACTGTACATGGAACTGGACAGTGGTTTGTTTGGCACATCTCAGGTCCCTGCCCTGAATTACTGTCTAAAGGCACAGCAGGTGGAGTACTGGTTTCTGCTTGCCTTTGTCAGTTGGATCTTGAATTTGAGGCAGGGTAGCTTATAAGCATAACTTTTTTCTTTAAAAAATGCTCAGAATCTCCCCAGACTACCTTATTTGTTGTCTGCAATGAAACCAAGACCTTCAAGCCTCCAGTATATTGAGGTGATGAACTGGTCATACTGAACTCCAGCTTATCAGATAGGACTCTGTGTCTCTGGAAACACAGAATCTGGGAGGTGTAGAGAGGTACAGCAACGCTCTGACACATCAGTGCCAAAGTCCTTGACTCTAGGCTACTGTGAACAGAAACCAGAAGACACCTCCCCAGGCAGAGGTAGCATTTGGCATGGGAATAGAGGACCCTAGATCGGGGCGGGCAAACTTTTTGGCCTGAGAGCTGCATTGGGTTTCAGAAATTGTATGGAGGGCCAGTTAGGGGAGGCTGTACCTCCCCAAACAGCCAGGCGTGGCCCGGCCCTTGCCCCTATCCGACTCACCCTGCTTCTCGCCCCCTGACGGCCCCCTGGAACCGGTGCCCCATCCGCCCGCTGTCTGTCCCCTGACCGCCTCCGGACTCCCCGCCCCTAACTGCCCCCCACAACCTCATCCAACTCCCCCTCTCCTTCCTGACGGCCCTCCGCCCCAGGACCCTTGCCCCATCCAACCACCCCTTCTCCCTGTCCCCTGACCGTCCCCGGAATCCCCGCCCCTGACTGCTCCCTGCTGCCCCATCCAATCTCTCCTCTCCTTCTTGACTGCCCCCTGGGACCTCTTACCCATCCAACCACCTCTTCTCCCTGACCGCCTCCGGAACCCCTGCCCCCATTCAACCCCCTGTTCCCCGCCCCTGACTCCCCCCCCGCCCCCGAACTCCCCTGCCCTCTAACCCCCCTCCCCCACTCCCTGCCCCTTTACCAATCTGCCTGGAGCACCAGTGGCTGGTGGTGCAGCTGCACCAGGACAGGCAGCTGCGCTGCCTGGCTGGAGCCAGCCGCTCACCGTGCAGCACAGAGCACTGGGTCAGGCCAGGCCAGGCCAGGCTCTGCAGCTGCGCTACCTTAGGAGCTTGCAGCTCCACTGCCCAGAGCGTTGCGCCAGCGGTGCAGTGAGCTGAGGCTGCGGGGGAGGGAGGACAGCAGGAGAGGGGCTGGGGACTAGCCTCCCAGGGCAGGAGCTCAGGGACCGGGCAGAAAGCAAGGAGAAGCAGCCCACAGATGACTAGAATTTGTTCTGTGAACTGCTAGTTCTCTGCAGACAGTGGTTTAAGAGCCATTGTGTATGTAGATTTGGGTCTGGATAGTCACACACAATCAAGCATAATTATCCTATATAAAAATAAGCAGCATATGATGTACTTACCAAATTAAGGTTGTGATTAATTTTTATCCACAGCTCTTCAGTTTGTTCTCATTTAATCTTTGGCCACTTGTCTTTCTGACATGCTTTATTGAATGGTTAGATCTAAGCTTAACTTGCAACACATTTATTACAGTGGAACTTGTTCTACATTTGATTAAAGAAATATTTTTCACTTTTGTAGGGAATGATTAAAACTGGATAGAACTACCTCTTTGTTCACCATCCTCAAGCATACCAATTTTATGAAAGCTAACACCATGAGTTCCTTACTGCTGAATGGGGAAACTAGAGGTCTTCTTTCAGAAGTAATAGCCATCATTTTTGGTTACTTTTAAAAATTATTTTAAAACTTTTAAAATATTAAAAAGTCCAGATTTTTCTACTTAAGACAAATAGCTTCATTAGGCACTTGGTATTAGTCAGAAGTTCCTGTAAATAAATAAATAAACTTTCCCTAGGAGGATGACAGTCACCAATCCCTTGCGAGTCAGTACATTAACACTTAATATCCTCTTTATTTGAAGCAAATATTTAAACTGCACAAAACTGATACAGAAACTCAAGTTTAAGTAACTGCACATCTATAACCAATGGACTTCTAACGTCTAAGGCAAGATGGACCAGTCACTGGATTCTGTTTTTGGTACCCCCTGGTGGCTCTCTTAGAGTTAACACTGAGCACTTTGCATCAGCTCCATGGAGCCATACCACATGAGGCAAGGCCAGAAAGTGCCCTTACTGGGAATGCCAATTATATCATTCAGCATGTGTGACTTGAGGCCTTAGTCTCCTGCCTCAGGGCTGTTCATAGTATGGCCCCACCTTCCATTGGCAGAGGTATGCACTGCTGACAGAGGGTGTTCATATTCTAGCCTCTCCCAGTTAAGGCCCAGTGTCAGCAGTTACAGTGCTGCTTCTCACTGTTCTCTTGCATGCTCTGTCAGACATTGACTCCATTATCCTAAGTCTCCTTACCCACTGAGTAGGCCCACGGAATCTCAGATCTGCCTTTCAAGTGTGTGGGGTCTGAGCCAAAAGCATATGCCTCAGTCACTGCATATCTGGGTAATAACTGCGTAGCTCCTAACATGCCTGAGAGGGAGGCTCACTTCTATGGACCTCCCGAGATGTGTGTAAGCATTGCGGTGGGATCAAGCCTTTTATGAATCTGTTTTAAAAGTCATTAGAGATCTTTAGGAGCTTGTCTACACACAAATTGTATAAAGGTCTTTATTATTGAATACCAATAAAATGTAGGTACACAAGTGCTATCTTTAAAATGGGATCTAAGCTCTTAAGTAACTTATGTGCTCATGTTACTTGTATCTTACTTTAGCATTTAACCACTGAAGCCTAGATTTTAAAATTTAGTTTAGGCATCCAAGTCTGAAAATGTTGGCATTTGCTGTTAAATGGCAAGGAAATAGCATTAAAGGTAAAAATGGAAGATGCAAGCGGGAGGTGTCACTGCATCCCTCCATAATGTTTGAGAAGCCCTTCTAACCATTTAAAATAGTTCTAACCTGTAGAGTAGGGTAGTTCTGCCATTGCATAGTTTTCTGCAGAGATTTCCCCTTTGCAAAGAGATCATTGATTGTAATGATTATTGGTGTGTGCTGGGAACTTGGTTAGCATTTAATGCATTCCAAGTCATTTTGATCAAAATAGACCTACCCATTATGGTGGAGCCAAGCTTCTCATCAGTGTCGTAACAAATGTGAGTTACAGCATGAAGTAGACTTGAAAAAGATCCTAGTTAAGACATGTTTTCTAGATGCCAAAAGCCAAATGTGTTGTACTACGTCCTTCCTCTCCCTAACATCAGTGTGTGGCCACATTTGGCACTACTCTTCCATTCTGCCGCCTTCCTTCTGTTCTGTTGGAGCACTTGACTCAGTCCAGGAGGATCTTTGGGTTCTTCATAGTCTTCTGTAGGAAAGCAGCTTCCTTAAGTCCATTAGTAAATTGGAAAGTGGTGAGTTATGTGAATTAGTTGATTGACAGGCAATCAGGTATTACTGACTATATCTGTCCCTATGTGACTAATGCCTTTAAGAATATGTGCATAGGTATTGATGATAATATATCATATTGAATAAGATAAATGTGAAACATGAGGGTTAAGAATAATAAATTCAGTTATATTAGTCTCAAACTTTAGTATGCAGTACTCTGGTCATTGTCTTGCCTATGGCATTTTAAAGCAGACTTATCTTTGTTTCAGGTTATACACCAGGAACACCATATAAAGTATCCTGTTCCCCCACCAGTGGTGCAGTGCCACCTTATTCTTCATCACCCAATCCCTACCAGACTGCTGTGTATCCGGTTCGAAGTGCCTATCCACAGCAGAATCCATATGCACAGGTAAAAAGTAAAGCTCAACTGGTTTGTGCCAGTTCAAATAGTATCTTGCTTTCAGCGTGCATTGTAAACTTCGAAACTCTAAATGTTGGGTTTCATTGTTTCACGAAATAAAGATGACCGCTTATTTCTACATGTTTTGAGGGTTTGTTACCAAAATGCTTCATGTAATTTAAAAAAAAAAAAAAAAAAAACCTTAAATTGCCTGTCCAGCATGTACATTTATTTTGTGCACAGTGATGGGCTTCTCCCTTGTAATTCTTCTGCTCTACTCCACGCTGATTAGGCCTCAACTGGAGTATTGTGTCCAGTTTTGGGCGCCACATTTCATGAAAGATGTGGACAAATTGGAGAAAGTCCAGAGAAGAGCAACGAAAATGATTAAAGGTCTAGAAAACATGACCTATGAGGGAAGATTGGGAAAAAAAAAAGGGTGTGTTTAGTCTGGAGAAGAAAAGACTGAGGGGGGACATAACAGTTTTCAAATACACAAAAGGTTGTTAGAAGGAGAATAGGACAAGAAGCATTGGGTTTAGATTGCAGCAAGGGCAGTTTAGTTGAGACATAAGGAAAAACTTCTTAACTGTTTGGATGGTTAAACACCGGAATAAATTGCCATGGTGGGTTGTGGAGTCTCCATCATTGGAGATTTTTAAGAGCAGGTTAGACAAACATCTGTCAAGTTTAATCCTGCCATGAGTCCATGGAACTGGACTGGATGACCTCTTGAGGTCCCTTCCAGTCCTGTGATTCTGTACTCTTACACTAAAGTTAAGAGTTTAAAAAACGGGTGCCTAAAATTAGGCTTCTGAGTCCAGATTTAGACATCTGAATACATGGCCTTATTTTTCAAAAGTGTTGAGGGACTGATTAAAGTCCATGTGAGCTTGTGTTCAGCACGTTTGAAAATTTTAGCTTTAGTTATCTAAATAGGTCACCTAATTTTGAAAAGTGTTTGTCACATTATGTAAGTTGGAAACTTGAAAATCAGTGAGACTTAAGAGTCTAAGTGCCCAAGTCACTTGTAAAAATAGCATGTTAGCTTCCAAATCTCTTAAGGTAAAATTGTAAAAGTGCCTGTGTCTGGCTTTGGAAACTAAATTTTGGGCACTCCTTTTCTTAAGTTCTTTACCCCTGCTTCAAAGAGGATTGTGGCAGCTGCTGTTCCTCCTTTATGCAGTAATAGCAGGAACACACTGATGCTGTCCTGGTCAGTTTCACTCCACTTTTCCTACTGTGCCATTGTGAAAACAGGAACAGAAGCCAGATTGTTCACTGTGTGTAGTAGAGACTGAGGTCTCTCCTACCTTTTCCTGACATTCCATACAGAGTACTTCCCCTATGACCCAGCTGAAGCATCAGTTTCACTCTTCTGCATCACTGGACAAGTATCTAGGATACAGTGGCATAAGTGTGATGCTATGGAGAGGTTAGAA